AGAGCACAGCTGGTTCGCGGAGGCCCAGGACAGAATTATCCAGCACGTGCTGTGCCACACGATCTTTTTGACAGCCCTGGTTTTCCATTTCCATAAAGCCATCTCTTCAGCTCATGGCCAGGCCTACTAATAGACAGTAATTTCTAGAGAGGTGTCTACAGCATGCCCTCATTATATCCTCCCCCCTTAAAAGCTTAGTAGCTCTTTCTGAGTTGTGGCTTTGCGCTCCACCTGAAATTTAAACACGTTAGCCTGAGGAACCCTGCCATGCGACAGCATCCCTCCCCATGGAGGCCCGTCTCCCCAGCATCACAGCACGTTAGCCTTCAGCCCTTCTGCCCTCCATGCTTGCCCTCCAAATTTAGTCTCCTCAAAGACTCCTTGTTCTTTTATTTTTGAAGTTGATTTACTTCTCCATGAGTGAGAGAGAGAGACAGGCAGACAGTTACCCCCAAAAGGGTCTTCATGCCACAATGCAACTCCAGCTTCAACTAGCCCTAGGCCATGGTCACACACATACCCAACGTGTTAGTGTGTTTGGAGGCCTCTGGATGCAAACCCAGAACTTTCCCATGTATGTCAACCTCACAGAGCTCACATTTATGCACCACTGTCTGACCCCAGAGACTCCTTTTCTATAACAATAAATTGCTCTTGCTTTTGGGTCACCAGCACCATCCTTAAAAAGACCCTTTCAGGGGACCAGCAGATGATGTAATGGCTATGTTGTTGGACTCCCATGTAGTAGACCACGGTTTGAGTCCCGGACCCGGCAGCTTAAACTCACGCCAGGCACATGTGCGTGTGTGCCCAGGATCCAAAGAGGAGAATGGAGGAGGAGAAGGTATTGTGGCATGGCCATCCCACCTGGGGGTTGATTTCTAGCTTTCTGTCTCTCTGTCTCTCTTTCTGGCTCTCTGTCTCTCTCTTTCTGGCGAGTGCAGGCTCCCTATAGCAAAAACCTCTCAAAAAAAAAAAAGAAAAAGAAGAAAGAAAGAAAGAAAGAAAGAAAGAAAGAAAGAAAGAGAGAGAGAGAGAGAGAAAGAGAGAAAGAAAGAAAAAGAAAAGAAAACCCTTTCAGGAGCCAGCAGATGGTAGAGCAGTTACATCACTGGACTCCCACATGCCCGACTGCTGTTCAAGTTCCAGATCTGGTGTCTTAAAAACTCAACGTAGGGCGCATGTGTGTGTATGCCCAAGATCTCAGGAGGAGAATGGAGGTGAAGGAATTGTGGAATGGCCATCCCCCGGGGAGTGATTTCTCACTTTCTCTCTCACTGTCTCTGCCTCTGTCTCTCTCCAGTGAGAACACAAGCTCTAAGGCAAAAACCTCTTAAAACAAAACAAAACAAAAACCCTTTCTAATTTCTACTTAGCCACACCCCTAACTACCTACACTACAAGGCTAAGTGTAGCCAGTTTTCAGTTCCTCTCTATAATTGCTACTCTCACAGCACCCCCCCACACACACACACACAGGGTATGTGAAATGAAAAGGGAAGTATTAAAGGCATCAATTTACTAAAACCATGATTACTCCCAGGTTTAAAAAATATTTCTCAATGATGGTCATTTTTCCCTTGCAAGTAAACTAACCCCAAATTTTCTCTACCACAAGATTTAATTTTTTAAAGGTGAGTATATCTTCAGAATGATGACTTGTACAGACATTAAAATGAGAAAAATAAATAGATAAAAGTTATTCTTTGCACTGGAAATTCCTCCTTCTTCAAGAGAAGGGTCTTTGAATTACTCCCCTGAGCTTCATATCTACACAGCAGAAGGGACTCTATAAGAGCCTCTCATTTCATAGGTATTACCAGCAGAGGGCACACTTTTCTTTCCAATTGCTCAGGCTCAATGCGAATGGCCAGTCTCCAGAATGCTAAGTAGGAGGAAATTTTATCACCTCTACTTACCGTAACTGGGTAAACAGAGTCACAGTCAGGATTAGGAATGGCCTTATAAAGAACATGTAATTAGGAACAGAGTTTGAGGTTCCAGCATCTTCCCTCAACTAATGACTCAAAGAATGGTCTTATGACAAAGTTGTTATTGGTTCTCAGCAAAATATAATAAGAAAAATACAACTAAATTAATGTACAGTTAACAGTGCATACTACCTATGAGCAACTGTGTATGTGTGTGCGATACATATGAATCATTCAACTGTCTTTAGCTAAGGACTAAGACTGTCCATATCCTGAGAATATGAACTCCTGGTTTTTTTTTTTTGTTTTTTTTTTTTGAGAGGTTTTCGCTATAGGGCGCGTGTGCTCGCCAGACAGACAGAGAGAGACATAGAGACAGAAAGCGAGAAATCACCCCCCAGGGGGGATGGTCACGCCGCAGTCCCTTCTCCTCCATTCTCCTCTCGGGATCTTGGGCACGCATGCACACACGCCCGGCGTGAGTTTTAAGCCACCGGGTCCGGGACGCGAACCGCGGTCAACTACGTGGGAGTCCAGCAACACAGCCATTACGCTAACTGCTGGTACCCGAACTCCTGGTTTTTTATATTTAAAATGATTTGTCTGTAATGAAATGGTAGGAATGATAAATGATCATTTAAAAAAATATTTTTACCTGACAAAATATAAAGGTAGAAATCCTATGTCTTTTTCCCAAATTAAAGTGTACACTCACGCACACACGCGCACACACACACACACACACAGAGGTCCATGAAACCCAAAAACCTAGAAATTCCTTTTTTGCTGTCCAAAACCCAAATGTCAATCTCTTCATTTTTGCAATTTTTCTGTGACCATACATGACCAGATTTCATTCAGAGACACAAAAATGTACTCTGCGTCTGTAATAAACACCTTCCTTGGGGGGATAGGGAGGGAGTGCACATGGATCTGTGGACGTGGCAGGCCCTTTGAGTTATTTCTTGATACTAACAGCACGCTTCCGTGGACAGGTACCCAGCTCCTGTTGGAGGCCTGCATCCAAGCGAGCGTGCCAGCCTTCATCTACACCAGCAGCATAGAGGTAGCGGGGCCCAACTCCTACAGGGAGGTCATCCAGAATGCCAGCGAAGAAGACAATCATGAAAATGAATGGTCCAGTCCCTACTCGTATAGCAAAAAGCTTGCTGAGAAGGCCGTGCTGGAAGCTAATGGGAGGGCTCTTAAGAATGGTAACACCTTGTACACTTGTGCCCTAAGGCCTATGTATATCTATGGGGAAGGAAGTCCATTCATTTATAGGTCTATAGAAAATGCCCTGAAGAGCAATGGCATCATATCAAATGTTGGTTGGCTTTCCACAGTCAACCCAGTCTATGTGGACAACGTAGCCTGGGCCCACATTCTGGCCTCGAGGGCCCTGCTGGACCCCAAAAAGGCCTCAAGCATCCAAGGGAAGTTTTACTACATCTCAGATGACACGCCTCACCAAAGCTATGATGACCTCAATTACAACCTGAGCAAAGACTGGGGCCTCTCTGTTGACTCTGGACCAAGAATGCCTCTGTGTGTGCTCTACTGGATTGCCTTCCTGCTGGAAACTGTGAGCTTCCTACTGCGTCCAATTTACAAATATCGACCCCCTATCACCCGCCACGTGCTGACCTTGGCTAACAGTGTGTTTACTTTCTCCTACAAGAAAGCTGAGCGAGAACTAGGGTATAAGCCACTCTTCAGCTGGGAGGAAGCCAAGCAGAGAACCTCAGAGTGGATTGGTAGCCTGGTGAAAGAGTACGAGAAGAGCCTGAAGCCAAAGACTCAGTGATGTGAGAATAACAGGAATGAGGATGTGTGAGATGTCTGACAAGCTCTCCCCTTCTGGATTCCTAGAGAAAGTGACATGGGCGCAAACTTAGGTGCTACTGCCTCCCTCTTCCCCAATGGCCCACTGACTATCTTCTATTGCTACCAGAAAACTTCCCTGCCACTCACCCAGCCAGAAACATCCGCCCTACCCATCCACCAGAGGACTAGGCAAGGTTTGCATCAGCTGCCTTTCCTCCCTTAAATAATAAATCACGTATCTTCTATCTTAAAAACTCCTCTAAAGAGAGTGAATGTGTTCATGCCTAAACTGGAGGGAAGCGTGGTTTACGTTAATACTTTCCTGTTTTCCCTTCCATTACTAGGTAGCACTATCTCCATTTCAGAAAAGTATCAGGGAGCTGGGGTGGGCAGTGGAGGTGGGCGTAAGGGAACTGAGCCCCTGCTATGCTGCGGGCACGTACTGCATGCCTGACACCTATACCTCAGTGAACCTTCATCAGAGACCTGGGAGGCAGAGATTATTATCCTGGTTTTATCACTGAAGAAACCTGGTCATGGCCACACTCAGTGGTGAGTGGCTAAGCCTAGCTACCCAATGGCTCGTGCACCCTGCCTGGGTTTGTTAGTGGCCCTGCAGAGCAATGGAGCATGGGGTGTGGATCCCTGGGAGAGTCCCAGCACCCTTGGGTTAATTCCTTCATGCTCAGTCCCACGCAGGAGACTCTCTAGAGCCCAGGAGACTCCTTGAAGTGTACCCAGGAAGGTTTGCCTCCCTACTAAGTGGCCCTGGGTAGGGGAGGGAGGGGCAAACATACCTCCAGCCTCCACTTCCAATGCCAGTTTCCATGACGTTATCTAGGACACACCCGGATCTATGCATGTTGGTCATTCTATCATCTTTCAGCTTCTCAAATCACACAATGAAGACACACCATGGGCTCAAGGGTAAGTAAAGTGGTGTAAATTCTCCTGAAAAATGTGAATTCCCTAAGAGTAGAAGTCTACTATTCCATACCTCCACATAGAGCTCCTCTTCTCTCCTTCTTCCCTCTTTTCATTCTCTCTCCTTCTATTTTTTTATCCTCTTTCCTTTCTTTCTCTTCACCCAATCATGGTGGAACAAGTGGTAGGGCACCATTGCCCAATGTCTGGGGCTGCATGGGAGGCCTGGGTTTGGTTCCCAGTCCAACCTAAAAACAGGCCAGGCACAGTGGCATGTGCCTGCAATCCAAGTGAGCTGGGTGGTGGGGCTGGAAGGACAGCGAAGTGGGGAGATGTTGTTGAAACTCCCTTCCTCCTGTTTTCATTCTCTCAGTAAAAAGAAAGAGAAATGCTGGCCTAGCTATTAACCAATCAGAGAACCAACAGTCAGTCCAAAGAAACCGTTAGGATCCATAGGAACAGCAGCAAACCAAAAGAGGAGGGGGTTGCTGCAGGGGTCTGTGAGCGGGGAGGGGACAGCTGCCTCCCTGAGACCAGGGTGCTGCTGTCCTGTCTTTACTATCACAGCTATGACGGGAGTCACAGCCAACATCAAGATGGCTTCTTTCTCACCCCGGGAACTGACAGATCATTAATTCAATTGAATTTGATGACCACGTAGGAGATAGTTTAAGCATTTACCCTGAAGAAGAGACCGGAAGCAGCCTGGCTGGGCCGACCAGGTTTCCACCACCTTCAAAACCCAGGGAACAGGTGACTGGGAGGCATCAGGGTGGGGTAGCCACCGCCATGCAGTAAGAGCCAGCTCTGGTCAGCTATTGCAAGGTGCACACGCTTTCCCTTTGTACAGAAAGCATAGGAAGGGGAGGGGAGTCGGGGCACTTGGGTTCAGGGCCCTTTGCCTTCATTTTGCCTAAAGAAGCCCACACCTACAAACTCACAAGAGCAAGGCTCACAGAGAAGGGAAGAAGCATTGTCGCAAAGGGCATCAGGGGTCGAGAAGAGAAAGGAGAGGGGATCAGATTGGTTGACGGTCTTCGCTGAATATGCATAAAGGTCTGGGGAGTGCTTTGGCCAACAAAGTTTACCATCCCTGCTTTGACGCAGAGGTGGACTGCCCCGGGGCTGCCTGAGTTCATGCACCCCAGCGCAGTGTACTGCACACAATGCACCGCTTGGGGGCAGCAAAAGCCCGGAGCGGGTTAGGAAGCCTGCCTGCTGGACACGTGGTAAAGGGATGAATGACTATGCAGGTGACAGTGCTCAGCCACTGGGTTAAGTGTTGTGTACATACCAAGGAACTTAAAAATGTTAGTAGGAAAATAGAATCAAAGTAGGAGTTTATTTTAGTGTTATAAATTTTTGCCATAAGTTTTGAAATCCATGCATAGCATTTTCCGTAAACTTTTTGAAGTCCCCTTCACACCCCCCTTACCCCAGTACTCCCCTTCCCCCTCCCCCCATGAGGACAGAGAGTAGAGCTGAACAATTAACAGGAAAGATTCACCCAACAGGTAGGACTTCAGCTGGGCCTTGAAGGACTAGAGAGACGCAGGAGGAAGAGCATGCAAGGCTGTCCAGGAAGGGGAGACAACAGCCTGAACCTATATGAGATGGAAGAGGGGAGGAAGGAGAGGAGGAGGGCCACAGGAGAGGAGCGTTTCTATACTGGAAATGAGTTAGCTTGGTGCTACACTCAGCTGTGGACTACCCAAGGCTGCATTCAGAGAGCCGAAGTGGAGCCCATCTGCTGCCCAACTGCAGAAGAAGTGCAGCAGGGCTGCTGATTTTTATCTGACGTCCTGATTTCTAAATATTGGCAACTGATTCCACATTTGAAAAGACAGTGTGGGGGCCAGCAGGTGGCACGGTGGTTAAGGAGCTAGACTCCCACATGGCTGACCACAGTTAAAGTCCTGGACCTGTTGACTTGCTTTCTCACTTTCCCTCTCTCTCTTCCTCTCTCTCTCTGGTGAATGCATGTGCACTATGGCGAATTAAATAATCACAATTTTAAAATTAAATAATTACTTTTTTTAAAGTGTGAACGGGCCAGGTGTCGTGATGGTTAAGGTACTGAACTCCCACATGGTCTACCTTGGTTCTAGTCCCAGACCCAGTGGTTTGAAAATCACACCAAGCCTATGCGCATGTGCACAAAATCCCAGAAGACTAGAGAAGGGATTGAAGGGTGGCCATCCTCCCTGAAGGGTGATTTCTCACTGTCCCTCTCTCTGTCTCTCTCTCTCTGGCCAGCACATACACCCTATGGCTAGACTCCCACATAGTTGACTGTGGTTCGAGTCCCAGACCTAGTGGCTTAAAACTCACGTAGGATGCATGTGTGTGCGTGCCCAAGATCCCCAGAGAATAGAGAAGGCATTGAAGTATGGCCATCTCCCCTAGGGGTTATTTCTTGCTTCCTGTCTCTCCATCTCTATCTCTCTGGTGAGCACAAACACACCATGGCAAAAAATCTCTCTTTAAAAAAAAAAAAAAAAACAGTGTTTGATCAGCTTCAAGAGACAGATACATGGGCTAGCGCCCAAATCGCATGTGTAATATTTTACTTCTAATAAGTGGTGGCCTATGTATATCTATGGGGAAGGAAGTCCATTCATTTATAGGTCTATAGAAAATGCCCTGAAGAGCAATGGCATCATATCAAATGTTGGTTGGCTTTCCACAGTCAACCCAGTCTATGTGGACAACGTAGCCTGGGCCCACATTCTGGCCTCGAGGGCCCTGCTGGACCCCAAAAAGGCCTCAAGCATCCAAGGGAAGTTTTACTACATCTCAGATGACACGCCTCACCAAAGCTATGATGACCTCAATTACAACCTGAGCAAAGACTGGGGCCTCTCTGTTGACTCTGGACCAAGAATGCCTCTGTGTGTGCTCTACTGGATTGCCTTCCTGCTGGAAACTGTGAGCTTCCTACTGCGTCCAATTTACAAATATCGACCCCCTATCACCCGCCACGTGCTGACCTTGGCTAACAGTGTGTTTACTTTCTCCTACAAGAAAGCTGAGCGAGAACTAGGGTATAAGCCACTCTTCAGCTGGGAGGAAGCCAAGCAGAGAACCTCAGAGTGGATTGGTAGCCTGGTGAAAGAGTACGAGAAGAGCCTGAAGCCAAAGACTCAGTGATGTGAGAATAACAGGAATGAGGATGTGTGAGATGTCTGACAAGCTCTCCCCTTCTGGATTCCTAGAGAAAGTGACATGGGCGCAAACTTAGGTGCTACTGCCTCCCTCTTCCCCAATGGCCCACTGACTATCTTCTATTGCTACCAGAAAACTTCCCTGCCACTCACCCAGCCAGAAACATCCGCCCTACCCATCCACCAGAGGACTAGGCAAGGTTTGCATCAGCTGCCTTTCCTCCCTTAAATAATAAATCACGTATCTTCTATCTTAAAAACTCCTCTAAAGAGAGTGAATGTGTTCATGCCTAAACTGGAGGGAAGCGTGGTTTACGTTAATACTTTCCTGTTTTCCCTTCCATTACTAGGTAGCACTATCTCCATTTCAGAAAAGTATCAGGGAGCTGGGGTGGGCAGTGGAGGTGGGCGTAAGGGAACTGAGCCCCTGCTATGCTGCGGGCACGTACTGCATGCCTGACACCTATACCTCAGTGAACCTTCATCAGAGACCTGGGAGGCAGAGATTATTATCCTGGTTTTATCACTGAAGAAACCTGGTCATGGCCACACTCAGTGGTGAGTGGCTAAGCCTAGCTACCCAATGGCTCGTGCACCCTGCCTGGGTTTGTTAGTGGCCCTGCAGAGCAATGGAGCATGGGGTGTGGATCCCTGGGAGAGTCCCAGCACCCTTGGGTTAATTCCTTCATGCTCAGTCCCACGCAGGAGACTCTCTAGAGCCCAGGAGACTCCTTGAAGTGTACCCAGGAAGGTTTGCCTCCCTACTAAGTGGCCCTGGGTAGGGGAGGGAGGGGCAAACATACCTCCAGCCTCCACTTCCAATGCCAGTTTCCATGACGTTATCTAGGACACACCCGGATCTATGCATGTTGGTCATTCTATCATCTTTCAGCTTCTCAAATCACACAATGAAGACACACCATGGGCTCAAGGGTAAGTAAAGTGGTGTAAATTCTCCTGAAAAATGTGAATTCCCTAAGAGTAGAAGTCTACTATTCCATACCTCCACATAGAGCTCCTCTTCTCTCCTTCTTCCCTCTTTTCATTCTCTCTCCTTCTATTTTTTTATCCTCTTTCCTTTCTTTCTCTTCACCCAATCATGGTGGAACAAGTGGTAGGGCACCATTGCCCAATGTCTGGGGCTGCATGGGAGGCCTGGGTTTGGTTCCCAGTCCAACCTAAAAACAGGCCAGGCACAGTGGCATGTGCCTGCAATCCAAGTGAGCTGGGTGGTGGGGCTGGAAGGACAGCGAAGTGGGGAGATGTTGTTGAAACTCCCTTCCTCCTGTTTTCATTCTCTCAGTAAAAAGAAAGAGAAATGCTGGCCTAGCTATTAACCAATCAGAGAACCAACAGTCAGTCCAAAGAAACCGTTAGGATCCATAGGAACAGCAGCAAACCAAAAGAGGAGGGGGTTGCTGCAGGGGTCTGTGAGCGGGGAGGGGACAGCTGCCTCCCTGAGACCAGGGTGCTGCTGTCCTGTCTTTACTATCACAGCTATGACGGGAGTCACAGCCAACATCAAGATGGCTTCTTTCTCACCCCGGGAACTGACAGATCATTAATTCAATTGAATTTGATGACCACGTAGGAGATAGTTTAAGCATTTACCCTGAAGAAGAGACCGGAAGCAGCCTGGCTGGGCCGACCAGGTTTCCACCACCTTCAAAACCCAGGGAACAGGTGACTGGGAGGCATCAGGGTGGGGTAGCCACCGCCATGCAGTAAGAGCCAGCTCTGGTCAGCTATTGCAAGGTGCACACGCTTTCCCTTTGTACAGAAAGCATAGGAAGGGGAGGGGAGTCGGGGCACTTGGGTTCAGGGCCCTTTGCCTTCATTTTGCCTAAAGAAGCCCACACCTACAAACTCACAAGAGCAAGGCTCACAGAGAAGGGAAGAAGCATTGTCGCAAAGGGCATCAGGGGTCGAGAAGAGAAAGGAGAGGGGATCAGATTGGTTGACGGTCTTCGCTGAATATGCATAAAGGTCTGGGGAGTGCTTTGGCCAACAAAGTTTACCATCCCTGCTTTGACGCAGAGGTGGACTGCCCCGGGGCTGCCTGAGTTCATGCACCCCAGCGCAGTGTACTGCACACAATGCACCGCTTGGGGGCAGCAAAAGCCCGGAGCGGGTTAGGAAGCCTGCCTGCTGGACACGTGGTAAAGGGATGAATGACTATGCAGGTGACAGTGCTCAGCCACTGGGTTAAGTGTTGTGTACATACCAAGGAACTTAAAAATGTTAGTAGGAAAATAGAATCAAAGTAGGAGTTTATTTTAGTGTTATAAATTTTTGCCATAAGTTTTGAAATCCATGCATAGCATTTTCCGTAAACTTTTTGAAGTCCCCTTCACACCCCCCTTACCCCAGTACTCCCCTTCCCCCTCCCCCCATGAGGACAGAGAGTAGAGCTGAACAATTAACAGGAAAGATTCACCCAACAGGTAGGACTTCAGCTGGGCCTTGAAGGACTAGAGAGACGCAGGAGGAAGAGCATGCAAGGCTGTCCAGGAAGGGGAGACAACAGCCTGAACCTATATGAGATGGAAGAGGGGAGGAAGGAGAGGAGGAGGGCCACAGGAGAGGAGCGTTTCTATACTGGAAATGAGTTAGCTTGGTGCTACACTCAGCTGTGGACTACCCAAGGCTGCATTCAGAGAGCCGAAGTGGAGCCCATCTGCTGCCCAACTGCAGAAGAAGTGCAGCAGGGCTGCTGATTTTTATCTGACGTCCTGATTTCTAAATATTGGCAACTGATTCCACATTTGAAAAGACAGTGTGGGGGCCAGCAGGTGGCACGGTGGTTAAGGAGCTAGACTCCCACATGGCTGACCACAGTTAAAGTCCTGGACCTGTTGACTTGCTTTCTCACTTTCCCTCTCTCTCTTCCTCTCTCTCTCTGGTGAATGCATGTGCACTATGGCGAATTAAATAATCACAATTTTAAAATTAAATAATTACTTTTTTTAAAGTGTGAACGGGCCAGGTGTCGTGATGGTTAAGGTACTGAACTCCCACATGGTCTACCTTGGTTCTAGTCCCAGACCCAGTGGTTTGAAAATCACACCAAGCCTATGCGCATGTGCACAAAATCCCAGAAGACTAGAGAAGGGATTGAAGGGTGGCCATCCTCCCTGAAGGGTGATTTCTCACTGTCCCTCTCTCTGTCTCTCTCTCTCTGGCCAGCACATACACCCTATGGCTAGACTCCCACATAGTTGACTGTGGTTCGAGTCCCAGACCTAGTGGCTTAAAACTCACGTAGGATGCATGTGTGTGCGTGCCCAAGATCCCCAGAGAATAGAGAAGGCATTGAAGTATGGCCATCTCCCCTAGGGGTTATTTCTTGCTTCCTGTCTCTCCATCTCTATCTCTCTGGTGAGCACAAACACACCATGGCAAAAAATCTCTCTTTAAAAAAAAAAAAAAAAACAGTGTTTGATCAGCTTCAATGACTCTGTCCCTCTCTGGTCAAATTAAAATAAAGAAATAAACTAATTCTTTAAAAAAAAAAAATGGGTGACATGGTGTCAGTGACAAACCTGCTTACTTTTGGGGATCAATGCCAACTATTATATGTATTATATCATCTTCTAAACTTCCTGTATGTTTGACATAGGCTATCATTTTTTAAAGTAAATTAATTCTGATGAGGAAAAGGTTATGTAAACTAACAAGACACATCAGCACACTGGACCCAGGCATCAGGCCTGCAGAATTTAATTTATTTTCTCAGTTTAGTGGTCTATGGGAGACGAGATACCCGAGACAGTAGGTGCTGTGCACAGTAAAACGTGTAAAGTGCCCTAGGAAAGGGAAAGAAGGATTTCTTTTGGGTCAGGTATTTAGTGTGGCCTTTGCATTGGGCTGAATATCAAAAGACGGGTAGGGTTTCGACAGGCAGAAATGTAATGAAAAATATCCCAGGCAGAGGCAAGAGAGCCTGCAAAGACCCAGGTGGGAAAAGGGGTCATTTTCAGGCAACAAGGGCACCGGTCTGGACAGCCCAGAGAGCACAGGTGCAGGGCTAGAGTGGAAGATACACCCAGAAAGGCAAGATGGAACACACCAGCATGCTGGGGCGCCCCTGTGAGACACCCTCCTTCCAACAGAATACTAATTCTGTTCTAAAGACCATTTGACATTCAGTTAGCTCACATTTAGTAAGCCTCGTCTCTTAAAAACCGGTCTCTGTAAGAGAAAAGAGCGTGTCTCTTCTAGCTACGAATAGACAGTCAGGCCAAGGAACTGGGATTCAATACGCAATGGGAGAGCACGGCAGCTCCTTGTGCAGCTGTGCCTGGACGGCTACTTTGGCAGCCGTGTGCAGGAGGGATTGGAAGCGACTAAGAGGCTGCTTCAAGAATCTAGGCAAGCAATGAAGGACTGATTGATGCAGTGCTAACAAAACGGAACGCAGGGGCAGTTGAGGCAAGCCTGAGGCAAAACGGACACACTTTAGAAAAGGACTGAGTGAGGTCACAGCACGCACTCCCATGCACCCTCTTTCTCAAGCCAGAAACCTGGATGCTATCGCCCCGGTCCTCCTCCAACCTACTACCAAGTCCTACCAATTTTCCTTTCCAGAGTCTGCTTGAATATATCCTCTTGCTCCCCGGGGAGCTAGCTTGGTTCAGACCCCCGACATTCCTTGCCTTGTCCTCCACAAAGTCCTCCACCCCTTGGATAGTCTCCCCTGAAATCTCTCCTGAGTGGTGTTCCAGAGTGGTCTCTCCAGAATAAAACCCGACTGTGTTCCCGACAGCCTACCCTAAAAAACGTCCTGTGGAGCTCTGGGCCTTTAGGAGGAGCCTGAATGCCTTAGGATAACAAACAGGGCCGCTTACAAGCTAGCCCCTGCCTCCTACTTCAGACTGAACTCACCAAGCCCTGCCCCACCTGCAGATCCTCGCTTTCTGCTCCAACAGTGTGCCGAGACGTGGCACCTCCGCACATCTCTGGCTCTTGCCTCTTGCCAGGCGGTGCACCGCGTCCTCCTGCTTGGCCTATGCCGCCTCTCCTGCCAACACGGCCTCTCAGCTCCCTACTCATCACCCGTAGCTGCTCATTGTACAGCCTGTGCCAGGTGCAGATCGAATTGCACTGTCATTTATATGCTGGCCTCCTCCCTGCATCGCCATATCCTGAGGGCACTCACCTTTCGTCCCTGTGTCCCCAGTGCCTGACACAGTGGGCACCTGGCAGAGATGATGGGAGAGCTAGGCAGGCAGGAACTACACAATGTGGACAGACAGGCCGGACCG